CTATAGGACACAGGGTCGTCGTAGAGGGCAGAACAACGTCTGCCTGGCCAGCTAGTATTATAAATAAATTAATGTACCCTTGTAATATATTTAAATACAGAATGTTAATTGAATGTTTTGTGGTTAAGTGGTGAAAATAAACGCATTATCTATTATCAAAGAGATTGTAAATTCAAAGTATAGCAAAAATCATTCCAAAGAACATCTCTATCTCTACATAGTATAAAACAAAATCGCTTCGTGTCGTCGGTACGCTTGGATCTTTTAAACTACGCAACGGATTTTGATGCGGCTTTCATCAATAGACAATGATTTAAGAAATAGTTTTATACGAGTATGTATAATCAATGCATATTATAGGTATATATTATATAATTCTTCTGTCAGTGTGTTTTTGATTAAACTCCTAAACGGCTGTATCGTTTTAGATGAAATTTTGTGTGTGTGTGATGAAGTTGATTCGAGAAGGGTTTAGATTCAGAATTAGACCTGGTAGGTGGCGCTATTGTCGAGATCCAAAAATCACCCGGGTCACTAGTCTCTATTATTCGCAGAGGTACTATAATTTAGAACTGAAAGTTTAAATCACGAAATGTCAAACTATATTCAAAATGTACGGCGTTATTCCTTGGAAATTTAGCTTTCAACTATTTCGTTTAAAACTTTGAACTTGTAAACATATTCAGAAGATAATGGCTTTTTCACCTTTAAAAGGAAAAGACAGCTGCTATCAACATCAAAGTTTTTAAGAGTATTGACTTAGTGTCAACTAATTGCAGTCACGAATTTATAATTTTTTTTATATAACCTATATAAAAACAATATTAAACAAAAGGTGGAACTATGTATGTACCTATCAAATATAGTGATACGAGTAAATTGCAGAAATTCACCTACCTGATTCGGAAAAACCGAACGGTCTGTGGAGGGAAAGTACATTAAATATTAAAGATATCAAATTTCACTCAAGGTAAACATTTCTTTATTTTTTCAAAATTAGAATTTGACATCAAACATTTTTTAAAAAGCTTACCCGAACCAGGATTCGAACTATTCGTTTTATTGAACCAATCGATATTTCAACAGTAGGGTGCTCCCACTCTGCTCCCGACTGCTTATCTCAATAACAATTTCAACATATGTATAGGCATGAACGAAAGAATTAAATGGCCAGCAAAATCTCCAGATCTAACCAGAGAAAACGATAAAAGGTCTTTTGCCTTAAAAAAAATTAACAGTCGGTTGGGAAGTTAGTTACGACCCGGCATGTAAGAATTGTTAGATTTCATGGTTTTCTTTAATAGTAAGATGCTATGTTTATAGGTTTTAAGCTTATCACATAGACATCATCGATTGGTTCCATAAAATAGTGATTTTAAATTTTTTACATTTATTTTTTAGTTCGTTCAATTCACGACTCAGGTAAGCTTTTTTAAGAAATGTTTTAATGTGGTTATTCTTATTTTTAAAAACAAAGTCATGTTTCCTTTGAGTGAAATTTAATATTTTCAATATTTAATGTACTTTACCTTCATAGCCTGTTCGTTTTTTCCATCCTGTATAATATTATTATTGTTAGCGTGTGCGAGTAAAGGTGGGTGTGCGTGTACATGTGTGTTGCGTAGTGTGAAGTGTGTAGGTGGAGACTTATGGAAGGATGCTAGACACGGTAAGGTTGGATATTTTATTTTATTTTTATACGCAACATGCTTAGACAGTGGGATTAAGTAAATTCTCGGTAGCTTTATAGTCTAATGTATTAAGATATTTTGTGACAGACATCTTACAATTTATTTTTGTAAGCGGATAAATGTTAATCATTGCATTTAATTTATTATATAAGTAACTGTCTAGAAAATAGAAAAAGTTGTGTTATAAAAAGATTCTGAAAAGTTGACCAGAGCAGTTCCTCCGTATATCTTTAAGCAATTCCAGATCGTACTTCGAAAGAGAGTTTTATTAGAATGGTACGAAGAATAAAACAATGTTTAATTGAGAGTACATTCCAGTCCTGGTTAAGATCTACTGAGAGGTAGCTTAGTGAAAGTAATTTTTTTTTGTTTTACATGGGGAAATGCCGACGCATACCCGCCTCGCGGCGGCAAGGACAGGTTATGTCAGACTCACACCGAATAAAACTCCATGGTGTTCCACCTTCGCCGCATATTGGCAGGGCCACCGGAACGCTTTCGCACACATCCGCGGCCCCACCAGTGCCAGCCACGCGATAGCAGCCCCTCCTCGAGTGAGGACTACTCCTCCCCCTTCTCCTTCTTAGGTAAGGCACACCAGAACACATGGCGCGCCTTCCTCCGCGGCCTCCAACCACACCTGCGCAACAGACGACCCCATGTCCGATGCGCAAAGACCATAGTGCAAAGAAAAACTAGCACTCAAAAGCACTAGCCTTTCTGACCCCAGCGGTGGATCTGCTCTATGGCTCCGCCGTCAACCAAGATCGGCTACAGAGGTTAGGAAGAACGGTGGCTCGCAATACCGACACTCCTCCCCCCCCCCTCAGACTCCGCGACTCCACCATGTGGGTTCTTTTTGTTTATAGAAGAGGGGGCAAACGAGCATGCAGCTCACCTGATGGTAAGTGACTACCGCCGCCCATGAACAACCGCAACACCACGGGAATTGCAGATGCGTTTCCGGCCTCTTAGAAGGGTATTAGCTCTTTTCTTGAAGGTCCCTAAGTCGTATCGGTCCGGGAAAATTGTCGGTGGTAAACAATTCCACAGAGAAGTTGTATGAGGAAGAAAACTCCTAGTAAAACGCACAGTCGTCGACCGCCAAGCATCCAGATGGCGAGGATGGTATCGTGAATTTTGACGCGATGTGCGTTCGTGAAATTTGGCGGTTGGAATTAATCCGAACAATTCCTCAGAGCACTCCCTGTGGTAAATTCGATAGAAAATGCAAAGGCATGCAACATCCCTACGCAGTGCCCGTGTATCGAGCCGATCAGAAAGAACTCGGTCGTAGACGATTCGAACCGCAGTTGGATGCGGTCAAGTGGAAGGAGCTGGCACTGGGGTGCCCAGGCCCAGATATGAGAACAGTATTCCATGTGAGGCCAGATTTGCGCTTTGTAAAGTCGCAAGCGATGTCCCGGCATGAAATACTGTCTCGCTCTGCTAAGCATGCCAAGCTTTTTAGAGGCCATTTTGGCCTTTCCTTCCAAGTGACCACGAAACTGCTCACTATTCGATATGTCGACGCCGAGGATTCCGATGCTAGCTGAGGCAGCAAGGGGAGTGCCTTGAAACTGAGGAGATACGACAAAGGGGTTCTTTTTAGCGGTAAACGCGCAAACTTGTGTCATCTGGGGATTGAACTGGACTAGATTTAGTCGCCCCCAATCCGGGACTTTGTTCAGCAAAGACTTGACTTCAGATACAAGTTTGACCCGGCACTCGGCGACGTTTTCCCGAGAAATATTGACACGGCCGGTACATAAGGCATCACCAGTGCAGTATGTCGTCTGCATAGCAATGAATGTTACCAGTTTGCAATATATGATTGATATGCAGGAGAAACAGCGTTGGTGATAGCACGAAGCCTTGTGGAACACCAGCGTTGATAGGCTTGATATCAGAGCATGCACCGTCTACTACGAACTTGATGCTCAGACAGCAAGAAACCTGGTGATCCATTTGCATAATTTCTCGGGAAGCCCATAGGAAGGAAGCTTCGAAAGAAGCGCTTTGTATCAGACTCGATCGAAGGTCTTCGCTATGTCCAAACTAACAGCCAATGCCTCCCCCTTGGACTCTACTGCCTCCACCCATCTATGAGTCAGATAGACCAGAAGATTACCAGCTGATCGACACCGATAAAAACCGTACAGGCGGTCAGTAATCAGCTGGTGATCCTCAAGGTACCTCATGAACTGGCAGTTTATAATGGATTCCATTATTTTGGAGAACAAGGGGGTGATGGCATTAGGCCTGTAGTTGGACGGGTCAGAGCGGTCCCCTTTGTACACCGCTAACGACCAAACCACGGCCATGATAAGGTGGGGGTGGGGTGAGCATAATGGAGGTCCTATATCAACCTTCAGTATAACATGCTAAGCTCTTTCAGACTTGAGAAGATGAGATTTGCCTGCACCGTCCCACGAAAACGAAACTTTATTTTTTGGTTACATCAGTTTTCGACAGAAATAAATCATTCCTGAGTGAAAAGACCGCCTGTTGAACATTTATTTGAAATCGTAATTCTATTCCCCAATTCTGCACTTCATCATTACCATTATCGTCATCACAGCTCATCGCAAATCCACTGCGGACTATATCAAAAGTCCTCAAACATAAACATAGGACTTCACCATGAACTGCTTCATACAATGAATAAAAAAAATACGTAAAATTTGTTTCATTTAAAGTAATTATTATCAAGTGAAAGCGAATAAAATAATTATCTCGGTGACTGCGTATATTCAGGTAAAGAGATGAAATTAAATCAAAGATGATAGAATTATTTTTAGAAAGAAATAAAAAAGGTATTTACATATTATTCACTGATACTGTACACATCACATAAATAATAAAGACAGTTAAACGTATGGCAGATTACGACTACAAATGATGTGTGTGTATCGAGCCAGTGAAAAGGTTAGGGTAATGAATGCTGCAGGGTAGTCTATAGCGCTGATGATTTTGCCATAACCAAAACTATGAAAAATAAAAATATTAAGAAATATTTACTGAGATCCGCGATCCCAAATTGTACGTAGACAGGCACCATTAGCTTTAGGAGGTTTGGGAGCATCTCCCTCCCACCTTCTCAATACTACCATTACTAAACATAACTGCAATTGTTAACAATTGAGTAGGCTACCGCAGTTTTAATTTAAGCTGTTAAGAGGACAGGCTGGTACCCATCTCCTGTTTTATGTTCACTCTGTCATTTCTTGACACCTGCGAAAAGATATGGGGTATTAGTGGATTCTCTCACAAAAAGTTATTATAATAGATTATTCTGCTTTGTTTCAGGCGAGCAGCCCAACTCAATACTTCTGGTACAGAACAACCCTGCAGATCTCCGAAGACATCAATTACCCAGAGACTTTCAACTACAAGATAGCTCTTGCTCTCGTTATCGCCTGGATTTTGGTCTATTTGTGCATGATTAAAGGAATAGCATCTTCAGGAAAAGTTGTGTACATAACAGCTACTTTCCCATACATAGTCCTTGTTATATTCTTCTTTAGAGGGATCACTTTAAAGGGTATGAGCGATGGTCTCATACATCTTTTTACTCCAAAGTGGCATACGATTTTAGACCCTGTGGTGTGGCTGGAAGCCGGTACTCAAATATTCTTTTCGCTTGGTCTGGCATTTGGCGGCCTCATAGCTTTCTCATCGTATAACCCAGTGGATAACAATTGCTACCGAGACGCGATTATGGTCTCAATGACTAATTGCTTAACGTCTATGTTCGCTGGAATCGTGGTGTTCTCGATCATAGGTTTCAAAGCCACTATGGTGTATGAGAAATGCTTGAGTATGAGGAATGAAACTCTATTGGAAGTGTTCGGTTCTTCGTATAGATCCATTGTGTTCCCCGAAGAAGGGCAACCGGTGACTGTCGATGTGAATGGCAATTTGACAACAGTCTTGATGCCCCATTTACCAGAGTGCGATCTGCAAAAGGAATTGGATAATGTAAGTAAAATTTCAACTCATCCATTTGCAAATAATAAAAGATAGCGAGACCAAAAGTAAAGAATGAAAAAAAAAATTCATAGATGTTTTTAATTACAATCAGAATTAAAATATCCAGTAATTTAAAAATAACTATAGTAACTAACACGTACGTTGTTGTTTTCTGTATTAAATGAACTAGTTTCTTCGAAGTCTGTGTCGATTACTTACAAGGGAATAGATACTAATGGCTCACAGCCGTTCAGTTCGTGACGCAGATCAATAAAAGAGTGCGTGTTTGCGTTCTTTATGTAGTTCTCAATTATTTTACTGATTTCTATTTTTAAATATGACTGATTTTTGTTTGTAAAAATTTATTACTTGCTTTATAAAGGTGATGTAAAGGTAGGTCAGTAGGCAAGTAGGCTAATAGAACCGAATGTTAGAAAGCGGTATTATTACCAGTGCAAAATCGGAATTGCGCTCACCTTAAAGATTTGTCCACATTTACCAAACTTAATCATGAGTTATTAAGTGTGGCCAATCTTTTTTTAAATACATGCCTGCTGAACTTGAAAGCCTACCTAGCATGGTCTGTATTATAAAAACGTGTAATTATAACACAATAAAAGTGCAAACAATCTATTACTTAAACTTAACCTCAACAAGACGCCCTCGCTGTAAATTTCACAGTACGCGAGCAGTCTAGGTTCGATCCCGCCGATATTAATGATATTGTTAATTGTAATTTCAAGTACTGACAACATGCTTGATGATAAAGGAAAACATGTGAAGTAACCAGCATGTCTAAGAAATTCAAAAAAATATTTAGAAGACACACAATACGCATTGGGGCCGCACTTAACCATCACACTATCTTTCCCCAAACCCTATTAGAAATAAGAAGAGGCCTGTGCGTAACTGTTGGATGTAAATGAGCTGAAACTTTACTTTTCTAGCTTTTAAAATGTTAAAATGAAGCATTGTTTTATTTAGTTAACTTACACCCACAATCAAGGACGTTTGCGGTTACTTAATTCGCTCTTTAGTATAGATTTGAAAAAGTTTCCTCTTAGATTCAGTTAACGGTTCATTAGCATCCCTTTGGTAATTAAAGCTAAGGACAACAAAACCTAAACGCAAATTATTAACTTAACTTATAAACAAATATTGCCGACATTTGAAGCTATATTTTTATTTTTACTAGTGAATTCGTGTAAGATTTATTTGCATAAATCTAAAATTTTTGCTCTGGTAGACATTATTGACTTTGTAAACAACGGCAGAAAATATATAGAAGTTGGAACGATGCGGTTTTAAAACAAAATCAATCTGATCCCTTAACAAAATAATCTTATATCGTGAATTCTTTCAGTCCAGGAATTCCATACACGATAATTATAGTGCTTACCTCGTAGAGCCGCCCTGCAGCTATATTATGGTTGTAACACGAATAGGTTGCCTCGACCGGGGAAAAACCACGCTCTCCTATAATACCAGCGTAAAATATAAGCTTACTGTTATTGTGTTTCGTATGGTGAGTGTCATGAACTAGAGACTTTTTATTGGATACCAGGCATTCCATCTTAGTCCTCAGGTGTAACATTTTTTTATCATTTATCGTTTTGATTCTTAATCGAGGATAGATGACCATGGGTAACAGCACCCACTTACCAGTAGACTGTACATGATGTGTGTCCTGAAAAAATATAGATTTACACCTGCAATTTTTAGAAAAATGTCGTATGTTATAAATATTTTATAATTAAGTTACTAGTTTAAGTTTTTTTTATTATTATAGTTCTTAATATAAATAAACAATATTGTACCTAGTCAGGTCATAAATTCTGTCACATGTTTAATATAAAATAATTTAAACAAGTTTATTCATTATGTAACCATTTATATACCAAAATGAACTTAACAAAACATAGATTCTTATGAGACTAAAGTTTATTCAAAATGACCTCCGTGATTTTGAATACAGGCCTTCAATCTGCGCGGCCAGTCGTCTATCGCAGCACGAACGAGGTCCATGTCAATATCGGCGGCTGCCTTAATCAAGGATGTCTTGAGTGACTCCAAATTGGGATGAGGCTTTGAGCACGCCTTTTCCTCCAAGTGTTGCCATATCTTGTAATCTAACGGATTCAAATCTGGACTGGAGGAGGGCCAGTCTTAGTGCCGGATGAAGTCGATTTCACGCGCCGCCAGCCAGTCTTGTGTGCTCTTCGCTCTATGAGCTGGCGCCGAATCTTTTTGGAATACCCAGTGCCTGTTATTGAACATGGTATGAGAAACAGGATCCACAAGGTTCGTCAGGACTGTATTTTGATACACAACTGCATTCGTTTTTACACCTTTCTCACAAAAATGTACCTCTGTTAAGCCCCAATAAGAAACTCCCAACCATACCATGAGCGAGGATGGAAAATGACCTCATTGGACACGCGGAATACGGTTGCTCGCTTCTTCACTACTGTGTGCACACACCTTATCATTTTGTTTGTTGTAGCTCCCTTCTACGGTAAAAATTTTTTCATCCGATAAAAGAATTTCCCGATATTTTTTTCCCGCGTACCGCTTCAACAAAGCGCGGCATCTCTTCAGTCTCAGGTCCATTAGACGAGCATTCAAACGATGTTCTGTTTTTCTTCGATATGCCCGAAGCCCTAAGTCTTCATTTAACACCCTTTTCACCGTGGTTCTACTTAACCCCATCTGAAGGGGCAACAGTTTCTGCTTACGTTTGGGATTTCTTTGAATTCGCGCCTTCACAGCTTTTATCACTGCTGGAGTCCTAACAGACCGCGGGCCACCACTTCTTGACCTGTCATCTACACTAGAGTCTTCATTATATCGTTTGATGGTACGATAAACGAATCTTTTGGTTATATTCAAATTTATCAGTATGTCAAAAATTTGAATTGGCGCGTAACCGCAACGATGCAACGCAATAACTGTAACACGGTCTTCTTTAAGCGTGCACTCCATATTTAAAAATGAATAAAATTCTAAAAAGTATACAGTTTTATTTTCATGAACAATTCGAAATTCGAATTCAATAAACTTTTTTGTGGCCAGCATTCTAAAAAAAAAGTTTTTACTGTGTGACAATACTTATGACCTGACTAGGTATATAATAAAATATTTTATACGTTAAAATAAACGTAAGTAGGTACTCTTAATATTAGATATCAACATAATGTACAAAGTACAATGATTTTTTTTAAAGATAAATTACTTACAATTAATAATTCTTTTTACAGACAGCATCAGGCACCGGCTTAGCCTTCATAATATTCACGGAGGCTATCAACCAGTTCCCAGGGGCTCAGTTCTGGTCCGTCCTATTCTTCCTCATGTTGTTTACACTGGGTATTGACTCGCAGTTCGGAACATTGGAGGGAGTCGTGACCTCCATAGTGGACATGAAACTCTTCCCCAATCTTCGCAAGGAGTACCTAACTGGCGGATTATGCCTGGTCTGCTGCCTACTGTCTATGGGTTTCGCTCATGGTGCCGGCAGCTATATTTTCCTGCTCTTCGATATGTACAGTGGTAACTTCCCGTTGCTGATTATTGCCTTCTGCGAGTGCATTGGGATCGCTTACGTATATGGTGTTAAAAGGTAAGTGTAGGTTTTTTTTTGAATAATATTAAACCGACGAACACACTTAATGTCCACTTGGTGATAATTGACTACTGAATACCATAGACAATAAACTTCGAACAAACAATAGTGACGCTACAAACGATGTTGTCACCTCTAAGGCCTTTAAGATGGAATGCCCGCCTATAATTATATTGGCTCTTACTTTCAGACACGGACTCCTATTGACTTCTAGACGGAAAAAGAGTCCCACCATTTAGAAATTATTTTATTTTATTAAGTCTCCGCGACTTCGCCCACGTGCAATTTCTTATGATTTAACTTTTTGAGCGGAATCCTAATTCTTTTTCTAAAATAAAAGTACCCTAAGTTACTCCTTATAATATCAGCCATCTGCCAGTGAAAGCCTCATCAAAATCGATGCAACCGTTTCGGAGATTAGCCGGAACAAACAGACAGACAAAAATTTAAAAAATTGTGTTTTTGTTATAAGTACCGTATGTACTTTCATATGCATGTAGTAAAAAGCTGTTATTTTGACATTACAAACAGACACTTCAATTTTATTTATTTGTATAAATTTTAACCTTTTAACGTGGTGGTCTCAGCGTATAATGGATGCAACGAAAATGAGTCGTTTCGATCTGGGAAGGACCACACTTCTTCTTCTTCTTGGTTGTGTCCTTCAAAACTGTAGGTCGTGTTCGTAGGTTAGTGCCTTCGTAGGGCTGTTCACTATAGCCCTCCATTCTGTCCGGTCCTCAGCTTTTCGCATTGCAGTCGTGAGTGAAGGGTCAGTGAATTATTTGAGCTGGTCCGACCAGCGGCTAGATGATCGGCTACGTGCTCTTTTGCCCCCCCCCCCCCCTTGCCTACGACTATAAGTCTATCTAAGTTATTAGGCGGGCGTCGGGTAATGTGACCAAAGTAACACAGAATACTCTGGTAACACGTGGTAGAGAGTCTGACGTCAACATGAAGCTGCCCCAAGATCGACTCGACCACGTACTAGCGTATAAAAGTTTTTTTTTTTTTTATAGGAGAGGGGGCAAACGAGCATGCGGCTCACCTGATGGTAAGTGACTACCGCCGCCCATGAACAACCGCAACACCAGGGGAATTGCAGATGCGTTGCCGGCCTTTTAAAAAGGAGTAGGCTCTTTTCTTGAAGGTCCCTAAGTCGTATCGGTTCGGAAAAATCCCTGGTGGTAAACTATTCCACAAGGAAGTTGTGCGAGGAAGAAAACATCTTCTAAATCGCACAGTGTTGGACCGCCAATCATCCAGATGGTGTGGATGGTATCGGGAGTTCTGCCGCGATGTGCGTTCGTGAAATTTGGCGGCTGGGATTAATCCGAACAATTCCTCAGAGCACTCCCCATGGTAGATGCGAAAGAAAATGCAAAGAGATGCAACATCTCTTCGCAGTGCCAATGAATCGAGCCGATCGGAAAGGGCTCGGTCGTCGACGATTCGAGCCGCTCTGCGCTGGATGCGGTCAAGTGGAAGGAGCTGGCACTGGGGAGCCCCTGCCCAGAGATGGGAACAGTATTCCATGTGAGGCCGAACCTGCGCCTTGTAAAGTTGCAGGCGGTGTGCCGGCATGAAATACTGTCCCGCTCTGCTGAGCACGCCAAGCTTTTTAGAGGCCAATTTGGCCTTCTCTTCCAAGTGACCACGAAACTGCACGTCACTCGATATGTCGACTCCGAGGATACCGATACTGGCTGAGGCAAGAAGGGGAGTGCCTTGAAACTGAGGAGATACGACAAAGGGGTTCTTTTTAGCGGTAAACGCGCAAACTTGTGTCTTCTGAGGATTAAACTGGACTAGATTTAGTCGCCCCCAATCCGAGACTTTGTCCAGCAAAGACTCGACTTCAGACACAAGTTTGTTCCGGTACTCGGCGACGTTTTCCCGAGAAATATTGGCCCGGCCGGTGTATAGAGCATCACCAGTGCTGTCATCCGCATAGCAATGAATGTTACCAGTTAGCAACATATCATTGATATGCAGAAGAAACAGCGTTGGTGATAGCACACAGCCTTGTGGAACACCAGCGTTAATAGGCTTGTAGTCAGAGCATGCACCGTCTACAACGACCTTGATGCTCCGATCTGCAAGGAAGCTGGTGATCCAATTGCACAATTTCTCGGGAAGCCCATAGGAAGGCAGCTTTGAAAGAAGCGCTTTGTGCCAAACCCGATCAAAGGCCTTCGCAATGTCCAGACTAACGGCCAACGCCTCCCCCTTGGACTCTACTGCCTCCGCCCATCTATGGGTCAGGTAGACAAGAAGATCACCAGCTGATCGACACCGACGAAAACCGTATTGGCGGTCACTAATCAGCTGGTGATCCTCAAGGTACCGGATGAGCTGGCAGTTAATAATGGATTCCATTATTTTGGAGAACAAGGAGGTGATCGCGATAGGCCTATAATTGGACGGGTCTGAGCGGTCGCCTTTTTTAGGGATCGGGTGGACAAAAGCTGTCTTCCATGAATTCGGGACTACGAAAGTATAAACTAGTATAAAGCTGTTGTTTCGTATGAGAAATGTAGATTACCAGAGATCTATCTTAGCCGTCAGGGGTGATAACATGCTTGGTGACATATAACTTCCCTATAGATTGCCTCATAGGGGGGATATTTGCCATAGTTGCCACGCTTGATTTGGCAAGCAGCTAGGCAACTGCAGTTTTTTATTATTAAGTTATTATTAAGGTCATGGTTCAATAGGGGCAAAAGTTCTCATTACACTCGTAGGGGGTCAAAATGGCCAAAACCCAAAAAATTTAAAAACCTTATTTCGGCTAAAACTCCGCCTTCTTCGGAGGTTCTTACGAAGTCTTTACTTGCCGCATCCCACTTGTTGTAAGTAATTGGAAGTAAAAGCTTTAGAAATGAGTTGGGGGGTAATTCGTACTTTAGGCCTAGTCAGTTTGAATAGCCTATCATGTAGAGGATGTCATGGGGGTCATGGTTGAATAGGGCCAAAAAGTTCTCATTCTCATCAGGTCTCATTATTACGCTTCTGCTGGTTTGTCTCCCTCTATCGACTCTTACGACACCCACGGGACCATATAGGGATAGTGATATTCTTACACCCACACTTCACGGTTTTAAAAGAATTTGCACTACCAATAGCCATAAAAACTCAGTTTTCTTTTATTTTTAGATTCGCGGACGACATAGAGCTGATGACCGGGCGCAGACCTGGCATCTACTGGTTAATCTGCTGGAAGTATTTGTCGCCGTTAGCAATGCTCTGCATCCTCATATCATCATTTGCCGAACTAGCTGTAGAAGGGGCGGGCTACGATGCGTGGATTGCATCAGAGGGAGACACCGTGAGGAAACCGTGGCCCGTGTGGGCTGTGTTACTGGTACTCGTGCTTGTGCTAGCTTCTGTATTGTGGATACCGGCACTTGCTATTTGCAGGTTAGTTGATAATTTAGTGCAAATGAAGGTAGTCCACAATCTTTCGTATTATGTATATGTCGGAGATTTCACAACAGAGGATTCCAATTTGTGGTGTTGGAAATACATCAGGATAGCGTTAACTGTTAAAAATAATAAAAGTTTGAGAGCGGATGTTCAACTTGCTCTTTTGCTTACGCAGTTTAATCATTAAGTAACGCACTATACATTCAGTATAGTGAAATTACAGTTCGACCACACCGTAACACGTCTCACACTCACAATCACACACCAGTGTAACGTGAGGTACGTAATTACATGATAACACCAAAACATGTAAACTAACAGCAACACTACTTATCTCAATGTAACACAAGGCAGCCTCTCAGCAATACCAATCCTCCTTGCCTGCACTAGAAGAATTACAACAACGAACAGAACCACGACACTAGCTTAGCAGTAGTAGAATGACCACACTCGTTGGATGACTTCAGCGGAATCTCCCACGCACGTCACCTACAGTGAACTTTATACTGCACAAACAAGCGGGGGTTTCTCGATATACCCTCATGTCAACCTGGATCCAAGTGATATTTAATAGACGCTCCGACATATATTTAAAAAGCAAAAAGAGCATAGTTTAATATACATACTTCTGGGACTCCTACTATGATATAATATTGTGGCATTCTCGAAAACTGTTTAAAAAAAAACTATTAACAAATATTTATATTTATTTTATTTTATAGAACAAAGGTGAGAAACGAGCACGCATTCCATCTGATGGTAAGTGGATGCTTGTGGCCCGTAAACATCTATCTTCAAACAAAATGCATATGAGTTGTCACCCTCGAGGACTAATATGGAATCACCTCACTTCCAGTAATGAGGGTCTCCGGTTCTCTGCACTCTCCATACGAAACACTGCAGCATTAAGCTGCTATTTGACGCTAGTATGAGAGCGTGGTCCTTCCCATTCCATTCCCCCCGATCCATTCGTGCTACAACCATAATACAGCTGCAACGTGGCTCTGCCACGGCTAAAAATAAAAAAAATTATTATTCAATCAAAAATAATAAATAATTAAATAGAATTTCCTAATAGGACCTAAGCACTATGCTCAATGACCTCAATAGTGTCTCCCAACGGATAGGTCTTAAGATGAACATGGACAAAACAAAGATTATGTTTAATGTCCATGTCACACCTATGCCGGTAGTTGTTGGGAGCACTAAGCTCGAAGTTGTTGACGAGTATGTTTACCTGGGACAAATAGTCCGACTAGGTAAGTCCAACTTCGACCGAGAGGTCAATCGACGGATTCAACTCGGCAGGACAGCGTTCGGGAAGCTACGACACATCTTCTCGTCAAACATACCTCAAAACCTTAAAACGAAATTGTACAACCAGTGCGTGTTGCCAGTGATGACTTACGGAACTGAGACGTGGTCCTTCACTGCTGGCCGTATGAGGAAGCTCAAGGTCGCTCAGCGAGCTATGGAGAGGGCTATGCTCGGAGTTTCTCTGCGTGATAAACTCAGAAATGAGGATATCCGCAGTAGAATCAGAGTGACCGACATAGCCCAACGGATTTGTAAGCTGAAATGGCAATGGGCCGGTCATATAGCTCGAGGAACCGACAACCGATGGGGAAGAAAGGTTCTCGAGTGGCAGCCTCGTACCGGTAGGCGAAGTGTAGGGCGACCCCCTACGAGATGGAGTGACGACCTGGTAAGACATGCAGGAAATCGATGGATGCAGGTGGCTCAGGACCGTGCTTTGTGGCATTCCTTGGGGGAGGCCTATGTTCAGCAGTGGACTTGTGAAAGGCTGTAATGATGATGATGATGATGAAATAGAATTTCTACCTTCGACTGCTGGTAACATGGTGCATCTCATTTCTGAGATGGTTATGGTGAAATTCGTCCGCCACCTGCTCCAGTGTCCGAGGGTGTCGTAAGAGGCGACAGAGGGAAACAAAAATAGGAGATGGGCAGCAGCATTTTTCTGATAAAAACTCGAAATAATAAAAAACTGCGGTTGCCAACCCGCCTGCCAGCGTGCAACTATGGCGAAATCCTCCCAAGGAGACAATTCTATGGAGAGGCCTATGTTCAGCAGTGGACTTTTATAGGCTGTATTTGATGGATGGATCGAAGGCTGCTCCAGTGTGTGGTGGAGGACTTCACATGTCCTCGACCTATTTTATTATTTATACGTGCAGGTTTACCCTCGATTTTGACCTTATCGGCGAGCAGGATATAATTCAGCACTTAAAATTGCAGTAAACAATTTCATCAATGCTAGCCGGAATCGAACGCAGTAAATTTACGGCAAGCGTTTATCCTCTAAGCTGCCACGGATACTCATATACGGACGGATACATATATTGATATCCCTTGTCCCTGACAATTCAAACAAAAAAAAAATAGTATTAGTTAGTTGATGAATTTATATAATTACAAGCTTTAGCATCCTATTTCTATCCCTCACGGTTTGATTTTTCCAAAATCCTTTCTTAGTGGGTCTCTGCGTCGAGAAAGGAGTATATATTGTTTGCCAAATTTCAAGTCAATCGAGCATAAAGCTTTAGAGATCTCATGATGAGTGAGTGAGCCATATATAGATTATTATCATATCATTTGCCCAAGCTCTTGTCGCAGCGTATTAATCTATGAATTGAATTTCTAGATATTTTGGCATACCGATCATAGAAGACGAAGAACGTGCATGGTTCCCGGCTGATGACTTGCGCGACTTCCACGGTATCGAACCCCGACCCGTCTCTAGAGTAGAGACCCTCCTATTTTGCACACGACCCGATGGTTCAGAGGGCTGTTGTTGGCCTGGTTGCTGTGAAACTGACGACGAGGAATAGACCAATACAAATTGAGATATGTATTGAGATATGTTAAAAAGATTCGCAATATAAAATAACCAAAGCTTAAATTTGCAATATGACAGCCAAGGTATAATTTGTTTTCAAATCATATTTTACTGCCTCCAACAAAGAATTATTTTAAGACAGAAAAGTTATTGCAAAATATAACGTTTACGTAAGGTTTTTGCTTAAGGCTAAGTTCATATGATCGCCTGAACCCGCGCGTCGCTGCGCCATTGTAGCATTCACGTGACGGTATATGTACGCGTGGTCGCATTTTTCCTGCATCTTTTTTTTATAGGATAGCATGACAAGCGAGCACACAGTCCACCTGATGGTAAGTGGTTGCTGTGACCCATAGACATCTATCCTCAACAAAGAATCAAAATCGTCTCAACTCGCGCGGATCAACTGAACAGGTGGTTACAGGTCCGTAGAACTTGAACCACGCGGTGCCCCGCGGTGACTCGCTGTTCAAAATCTTGCGCGCGGTTCACAGTGCGCCAGATTTTGCAGTACCGCGTGGTAATGTAGACAATAATCGTCATTTTCTTTGATCTTGTACCGCGCGGTCATATGAACTTAGCCTAATATGTATAAATTAAGTTATTGCCTTTCACCTCTATGTTAGAAATTTTAACCGCGCATTTTTGTGAGGTTGGCGCTCAAATAAGCCGTCTCATTTCTAAAATGTTTGATGAAGTGAAATATTCAAAGGTTTTTTTAAATATTTTTTTGTAAAAAAACGACATACTTATCTCTTCTCTTCAGACTAACATCTGCCATATGTACATATTAAATATGTAAGGTATAAACTTAGTACTCCTAAAAATCCTTTTTAATTTCAAAAAACTTTAAGTCTCTGAGGGCCACATATACGATACGATCCGTCGCTACGATCCGTCGTTACAGACTGATCGAAACAACAGATCGGTAGCGTATGTTACGATCGGCGTGATTCGTGTGCGAGCGGTACTTTGAGTGATCTATCGTCACGTTATCCTTTCAGATTTATCGTAATGACGGATCGTTCCATATATGGGGCACCTAATAAGCATAGGCACAAAATCAAGTTTATAAAATAACGGGCTAACGCAGAAATGTATACCATATCGTAGCTTTATAGTCTTCGAGTATCGATTATGAATATCCAACATTTTTGATACTTGATTTTATTAAGGTGCAGAAAAAATATACAATGGAAATAATAACATCAATGAATTTCTTTTCAAATTATAAATAATTAAAGAAATCTAAACAATTTTTTAATCCTAAAGTTGACAATAAATTTTAGAGACTAGTGAAAAGTTTATGGAAAAATGACACAGAGATAAAAAGTAACCAAGACTAAACGCCACAATAATTACATATAAAAATATCATATCAGCCAATAACAACAAGGGCATATCGTTAAATTTTTACTATTTAAAATATTTATTTCTGTATAAACATGTTTAGGTAATTGCAAGAATTTCTGTTCTTGTCTACTTAGTATTTCCTGAAAAATTTTAATGTGGTTATTCAATATATTATGTTTAATATACTATTTTTAACTTTATTATAATGACAGTAAAAATAAAAAATATGAATTGTTACTTTTTACGTAAATTAAAATAACTTATAATGATAATAAGTAAAGTTCTCAAGAAAATAAAGGCCAAGTTCAGAGCACACCTAATGCGTGCGCAACGATTGTGCATTTTTAAGTTTATAAGAAATTACACCGTAATATGCAAGACTTCATACCATTTTAAATCCTCTCTAACTTACGTTACGTACCTACGTACTGTGTATGGTGTGACGATTCACGTCTTTCAACCAGTTTGAAGTATCACAACTGATACTGCAAAGCTCATTAATATGTTGTGCTGCGGCCTTATACGATAAATAAAAATGACAATAAGTAATAGATTTAAGATGCTTTTATTGACGATCGACAGCTGAGCTAGTATTTAATTAAAAAATACCACTAATGTTCTTGTTTATCGATATTTTATTTTATAATACATTACAAATAATCATATTTAATGTTTATATAAGAACAAATGTATTTACTTATCTCGGATATTTTCTTGTAATAACCAAATATTTTTAATTATAAATTGTACTGTTAACTGTTGAAAATGAATATTATTGTTGCAACTAAAAATATGGTTATTTTAGATACTTATTTCATTATTTAGTTAGATTGTAGTAATATTTATACAAATACTTTACGTATATATAACATAGGTACTCTTTATCGTTATACATATAACTCGTATGCAAAAGCGGCCATGACTTTAAAAATTTGTCTGCACATAGACGGCGTGATAGGTGCAATGCTTTCGTACTAATTATGGTACTCCTCACCAACAGACATACCACCACAAATCGCCGTTTATCGACCTTCGGAGCCTTGTTCGGTGTTTAGTGTAAAAATTAGATTGGAGTTTAAAAAAGGAATGTTACATTCCCTTAATAAATACGGGTATATTGCCAAAGAAATATTTTATATTTTAGTTCTAAAACATTTTAAATTAGGCAAAGACAACTTATTTTTACCAACTCCTTTCATATAATACTTGTATCCAGTAAAAACAAATATTCAAGACATTAATATATAATAATATAGTATAAGTTGTTTCTTAGTATTGTTGTTTCTGTAATAATTATAATCTATGTAAGTAATTTGTACAATTTGCAAGATTCTTCAAATTTGTCTCACCAACATATCACAGTTTTAATCAATATCAAATTTTTGATAATTTTGATAATTTTTTATAATTCATTATGAATCTTATATCTCATTAGTTATATAAATAATATATCTTTCTTAGATAAGATAGAGACAATAAATAATATCTTAATCATTTAAGTGCATCTGACAATACATCTAAATATTCTAATTTTAATATTTTAAGAAAGATTTATGGTTTGCCTACCCGATATAAGTACATAGAATTTTATATGTACTGGACGTTACACGAAAAGGATTTGACCCACACTTAGGTCAAAAACGAGTTACATATTATGCAAAATGAAGTTATATTAATAATATTTTTTTTAATCTAAGTAAGGTATATTAAATATATGTGACGTAGTAAAAATAATTCCGACAAAATTCACATCTAATCAAAAACTTTATTATAATTGAATGACTCCATTAAGTACTGAGCCAAACTCCAAGCACCAATATCTCAAAAGTAACTTTTTGTGGGTTGGAACCCTTTTATGTAATAACGTCCAAATAGTATTGTTAATATGTAAATCACGATAAATGACTGCAAATTATAGTGGTGAGAATATTTGTAATTAATCGTTGTGATATTATTGTTGTTCTTTTGAGTTTTTATGTAGATAATTAATCTTAGTATGACTAAAAAATTACGTAAATATATGCTGGGACCTTTAAACAAAATTGGACACATCCACTGCTTTACTTTAAATATTATACCATTTACCGGTACAGCCTATTAAAGGCCACTGCTGAATATAGGCCTCGAACATATATTGCCTCATAGAACCTCCTATTTCTCATAGTTGCCACGCTTGGCAAGCAGTTTTTTTATTTTTAGTCATTATTAGGACGACGCTGTTGCCCATTTCCTGTTTTTTTTTTGTGTCTGTCGCCTCTTACGGTACTCACGGGATGATATGGAAATTTTAAACTTTTTAATTATTTAGAATTCACATGTGAAGTGTGCATCTCTATTATATATTGAAACATAAGAATTTCAATATATAATAGAGATGCACACTTCAAAATTCTGGTCGAAAACAAAACTACTTTGTATAAAGAAACAAAAACAAGTAAAAATTTAAAAAGAGAAACAATTGGATAGATTTCGGCGGCGTAAGAGAATTCAATCTCCAATATCATACCGCGAGTTTTTTTTTTATAAGATAGAGTGACAAACGAGCACACAGTTCACCTGATGGTAAGTGGTTGCTGTGGCGTTTGCGAATCAAAATACAGATGCGTTGTCACCCGTGAGGACTAAGATGGAACGCTTCTTTTCCAGTAAAAAGGGTCTCCGGTTCTCTACACTCACCATACGAAACACAGCAGTATTAAGCTGCTATTTTACGCTTGTATTCTGTGAGAGCGAGGTCCTTCCCCGGTCGAGCCGACCCATTCGCGCTATAATTATACTACTAATATAGCTGCAGCATGGCTCTACCACGTATAATATGAGGGTAAGAGGTGACAGTGAAACGATAAAAAAAGAGATAAGAAGTTAACCTCCTGTTAACTCAAAATAATAAAGACTGAGGTTGCCCACGCACTTGCAAACTACAGCACTGCCCCTCTATGAGGCAATCTATGAAGGGGACCTTTGTTCAGCAGTGGACTTTTGATAGGTTGTAATAGTGATGATGGTGAAAACTACCATTGAAATATTAATAAAGAACAAGCTATTGGAACGAAGTTCTTTATCGGACGGTACGGATTTGGCGGCTGGGGGCTAAGCGACGAAAAGTGTAAGATTTTTCCGTCACGACCCCTTCTGACGTAGTGTAGACGGCCTTGGCGGCTACAAAGAAGCGAAATTGAATAATATCCATCTCCCTCGCACTTTTTGTCATCTTGTCATGAAAGAAATATTATTTTAAATGACGTTACATTTTAATAGACGCTACTAATTCATTTATTTGTATTTGTTAATCAATAATATAATACGTTAATCAATAATAATATACTACTAAAGTAACTTCGTTCCAACCGAGTGTTCCATTTTTAATTTATTTTTAACAGATTTTTCCATTTTGATACTGAGTCGACTTTCCAAAGGTTTTAAAACTTTGAAAACCAAAAGACCCACCACTCATAATTTGATTACCTCGTATATACAATTCCTGGTGTCTTCCATTTACCACGGAATTTCTTTTATTACGGAAAACCCGATGAATTCATTTGAAGTCAACTTAATTTGGCATAATCCAATGAAATTATATTATAATACATATTTATAAATATGAAGCGAATAAAAACTTTTAATAAATGTCACCAGTAA